TAGATAGAGAACTTTACTAATTGGCTTCTATGTGAATGTTCCTGTAAAGTGCCCTGAGACAACTTTGTTGTGATTTGGTGCTATAGAAAAAAACTGAATTGAATTGAAACTGAACAATGAACAGGGCAGGGTGTTTGTTTAATTTCTATTTATTGTAACACACTTGATAAGTTTATGGTGAATAGTGGAGGATAGAAAATGTGAACCCACGTTATGAAGACCGTTTTGAGACATCAAGAGTTAAAACAAGTTTAAAAGTATCTTAGATTCTTGGGGGGGGACGAAGCTCAAAAACTTACAGCCAGTATATTTTGGTTATCGGCATTAATCGTCCCCTCCTAATATCGGTATTGGCAGAGGCCTAAATTTCCTTATTGCTCAGGCTCTACTCACTGTTGTAGTTTAAATCTTTGGCAGTAACTCAGAGTCAACACATAAAAAGGTATAAATCTGTCTTTTCTCAACAAAGGATGACTTTAGTTTCAATTTCTTGAATTAAAATCTGCAAGCAATGTGCAATATTTGAATGAATTAAAAAAAGAAAGAAAGATTAAAAAAGAAAGCAGCTGCACTTCTGTTCAGTAGTTTTAGATATTTCACTTCCCAGCTGGAAAACTTTCTCACTTCAAAGAACTAGATTGTGGCGTTCCAAGCTTTAAGACTTCCCCATGTGCTCTCTGTTGTGCAAGATTGTTTCAGATGCAGATTAAACTCACTCCTCTTACAATGGACAGCTGTTGGGGTCTTTGCTTGTCTCACAGAGACATTTTGCTCACATGCATCGTGTGAATCAAAGACAAAATGACAGTATCAAACTAAACGCTCCATTGAAATCTGAAGGCGGCATGTACTTTCAGATTTGTTCTCATTGTCATGGTTGCATGACAAAAAGGATTCTGATCTTGTACAATCTCAGAGAACTTCTCCTGAGTACAAGCTCCTGGCAGTACATTTTCCTCTCAGGGGGTCAACTTTTATGTGACTGCTCAGAACTTTGTGGCTGTTTACAAGTGGCTGAACTGCACTGCTCTCATTTTCCCTCAACTTCTCTGCTGAAAAGCAGCTGGCCAAGGCTGTTGGACAATACAGCGTGGACACATCTGGCTGTGTTGGCCAGGAGGACATACACCTCAG